CAGTCTCGGTCGAATGTCCACTTCTGAAGCCAGATTGGTTGCTGTCCAGGAGGTTGTTCTGTGTGAGAAAGGCTGATACTTGGTTGAATACAACTCGTTCAAGTGTTTTTGCAATGAAAGGTAGTAGGGAACTTATGTTCCTAAATGAGTTGGGTTAAGAGTGGGTTTCTTAAGAAGTGGGGTTATACGAGCCTGTTTAAATGTTGAGGGAAAAACACCAGTGTGAAGGGATGTGTTAACGATGTGAGTGAGTGCAGGTACAACTGAGGTTTGTAATTTTATTAACGAAGAATGTGGCAATTATGTGGAATGTGGAAAAAGAGAAATTACTGGAGAGTGCTGCAGGTGTAGCATTGTCCTCTGGTTTGATCCACGTCTCTGTCAGGGCCATGAGGTTTAGTAGTGCGCAGGTTGTTAGGATTGCGCTGCCTACAGTGTGTGATGCATGGTTTGTGAGTGGTAGTGATAGTAGGGATCTGGAAACAGATGGTAAGAATTGGTTATAAAAACTGAAAACAGAAGGGGAACAAGTAGTAGGAAAGAGAATGATTCAGAAGATACTTATGTGCTTTGCCGGTGTCCCTGCTCGGTGGAGTCGAACGGTCAATGGTCTTTACACTCTTCGGTCTTCACACGAGGAGAGCTTCACACTGCTGCGACCGCGGTTTACTAAGCTTTTTGTATTCGTCTAACAAAACTCAGATTTAATTCAGCTGGATACACTTTCCTGTTTATCACAACAAATGGCCAAGCAAAGCGCACGACACTGACAAGGTACGCGATACAGTACGAGACCAAACGCGATTTCAGCATGTCTCCACACAGTAAACAAAACAAGCGTTTCCTAGCAACGACAACTGCGCTAAACACTGAGACAAGAAATAAATACACTTACGAGCTAATTTTAACTTCTGCTGATTGACTGCTTCTCTCAAAGAGTATTTCTTTACACTGTGTTTTGCTGGCGCTTGAACACACTTTCCTGTTTATCACAACAAATGGCTAAGCAAAGCGCATGACACTGACAAGGTATGCGATACATATTGCGTAGCTTGTCAGTGAACTACGGATCTGTGTAGTAAATGCTGCTCCATCTGAAAGCATGTGATGGAGATTTACTCACAGAACCAGCTTTACTGACGAGATGCGAGAGACGAGAATCGTTTGGGTTTTTTTCGATACCGGTGCCAAATCCATACTTTTAATATTTAAATACACCGCATCCTGAGAGCAACTCCCTGATGCACCAAAATTATACACAATATTAGAATGTTTTAAGGAGTGGACACAAAAATCGCGGGAGCCAAACACATGTTGCGGGAGCAGGCGGCAATGGTCAGAAATTTAGCGGGAGTGGGATTAAGAAAACAGCCGAATCCCAGACATTTTGGGCAATTAAGAAATCCGTCTAACACAGAAACCTTGTAGTTTTCAAATAAGCCTGAAGGACTTGATTGGTTGGATCAGGTGTGTTTAATTAGGGTTGAATCTAAACTCTGCAGGGCTCCGGCCCTCGAGGAACTGAGTTTGACAACCCTGATATAGAACATATTTTCTGCCTCATTCGGTGACAAGAAGCCTCATCAGATCACAAAAGAAAGCATTTGACTGGTGTTGTGGAGTAAAAAGGTTATAATTTTCTCTTTTGTTGGACAACAGGTTTAGAAATGTGAATACAAGGGAGGTTTAGCTTTAGGCATTTTAATTTAAGCTTTTTTAGCTTAGTTAACGGAAGGCTAACTGCTGCCATCAGAGCAAGTGTAATTACTGCATTCACGTGCTCCTTGGATGCTCTCATTTCCCGAGTTGTGCTTTTAAGTTGGAATTTGAAAATAACATGGACACTCGGTACTACAAAGATGTGTTGGATTTGTATTATTAGAGCTTTCCGACTTGAGTTCACGTGCATTTTCACAGTCGGGAAATTATTTACATGTGCGGTGCCAGTGATGATGCTTCTTACGCCCGTTTCGGAGAACCAGAGAACAAATA